TTATTATTTTCCTAGGGACTTCAGGCTATGTATCCACTATTGCTAGAAGTCTTAGCTGGGGTCATCTAAAAAAAAAATAAGTTTTTAAGAAAAAATGCATTAAAATTCATATACACTGACCAGATTTTGCCAAAGAATCAAACAAGACACTTGATAAGGGCAATTCAAGAGCATAACTGTTGGCCCATAGAAGAGTTATTGGGCATCACTGCCTAGTGGAAGAGGCCTGCTGTGGGATCTCAGGTACCATGGTGGCCCAGTCAATGCACCAGCTGTAGAGAGACTCTCTGAGTGGAACAATAGTTCAGATCCAAATAATTTTTTGTTTAGTTTTTTTTTTTTTTTGGTTTTTTGAAACAGGGTTTCTCTGTAGCTTTGGAGCCTGTCCTGGAACTAGCTCTTGTAGACCAGGTTGGCCTCGAACTGAGAGAGATCCACTTGCCTCTGCCTTTCTAGTGCTGGGATTAAAGGCATACACTACCACTGCCCGGCTTAGATCCAAATACTTTTGAGAGACTTGTAGGGTTCCTAATATGTTTGTTCATGTCAATTTTTATCTTTATTAAGGAAATAATAAATAGTTTGATAGCAACTTGATCTTCACTGCAATATATTTCATAACGTACATCTAGTACAATGTCTTCAGGATTGTACACTTATAAATTTGATTAAGATCAACATGTAGGAACTGTATTGAAACATGTAGGATTTGAGAGATGAGATTTTATGTGAATAAAAAGTAAATACAAGTTTTACATACTTGAGTTGGTGCATTAAAATATTCCTTGTTAATAATTAGATAATGAAACTGGTGGCTTCCAAAGTACTAGTATATTCTGAAAACATATTAGAAAACAACAGAATCAACAGCAAGTGTAGCAGGGCTTTTGCAAAGGATTTTCATTAGTAAAAATCTTTTAATGATTCTTAAAAGTACACTTCTATCATTGTCCAACTCTATTATGAAGACTTACATTAAAAACAACCTCAACCTTTATAAATTTAAACTCACGCTAAAGAACACAGTGAAAGAGAAAAGCTTTTCAGTAAGGGCTATTTCAGTAAAAGGATTACAAAACGTTTGGTAACTTGAGATGCTAGTTTGGAACGTATGCTACTAGTTCAAATGTGCAAGCTCCAACTCAACAAATGTTTAAAATATTTGAGTTTTAGAACAGTGCCAAAATAAATCACATCTTTTCTGGAGATGACATATTTAGCTAAGCATGGGCAATATAAATCTTTCAACCATTTCATGTATTTGTTTAAAAACCCCAGAAACCACATGCACTTCCAATAAAACATGCACAAAATGCTGAACTCGCTGGAGCCTAACAATCGACTTAACAGATCAGTTTTAAAGAGGCAAATGTACTTTTGTGTGCATTTGTGTTTATGTATGCAATGTGTGAATACAGAGGTTAGGTGTAAATGAGTTACCAAGAACATACTATTTTCTGTGAAAAATCAGTGTATCATTCAAACAGTGTGTAAGAAGATTGAACATCTGTCACAATTATTTCATCAAATGCCATTTGATGGTGGAAACTTCAAGAAGTTGTTGTAATCTCTAAAAACTGTATACAAGTGGATTTCTATGGCACCCTGTTCACATTAAAATTACATTTTAAAAACCTGTTTGTGTGTGTGAGTGTGTGTTTGTGAAATAAAAACTGTTAATAAGGGACCCAATAAGAAGATTCTTCAGTTTACTTGGGTAATGAAATACACAAAATTGACGCTAAAAATATTTATTTCCTGACATATTTTTTACTATTTTAATTACCTTAAGCATAATGGCTTATTTATTAAAATCAAAGTTAGTATATATTAATCATTGATTTTGTTGTAATGCTTGTGTGTTTCTTATACCCATTACTTTGCCTGTAACTGTTTTTATCAAACATGTGCTGAAGGAAGCTTAGTGTGCATGGAAATACACTCCATTTTGCAACACTGCAGTGTTCAGTATTTGGCAACAGACCAAGTTAAAAGCAGTTCAGAATAACTCCTGCCTATGTTTAAGTGGGGCAAAGTACATGCAAAGATGACACTAATGTCAAGGTATTTGTATGTATAGTTCATGTTGCACTACACAAAGAGATGTATATAATCTTTAGATTACTAAAGAATTTGTGTATATGTGTCAAGAGGAAATGGAACAATAGTAGCAATGATCACAGAAGTTAAAAATGCATCTTTTAATTCACCATTTCTAACTGCTGCCCTATTTAATTGATTAATTTATAGAATATATTTTTTGAAATCACATTTATTTTGTACATAAGTAAATATGTACATGTGACAGTAAATATGTAAAGGTCAGAAAACATTTTTTTTAAAAAAAGATTTATTTATTTATCATGTATACAATATTCTGTCTGCATGTATGCCTGCAGAATAGAAGAGGGCACCGGATCTCAATCTTGATGGTGTAAGCCACCACTTGCTTTCTGGGAATTGAACTCAGGACCTCTGGAAGAGCAGCCAATGCTCTTAGCCTCTGAGCCATCTCTCTAGTCCACCTACTTATTTATTTTCTATTTACAGTTGTGTGTGTGCCTAATTGAGTTGTGTGTATCTTGTGTGCACACAGATGCTTATGGAGGTTGGAGTGTACTGGATCCCCCAGACTGGAGTATAGGCTGTTGTTAGGCACCTGACTTGGGTGCTGGGAATCAACCTTAGGTTTTCTTCAAGACCACCAAGTTGACCACTGAGGTATCTCTCTAGTGCACACACTGAAATTTTTGCTATGCTCCAGTGGATGGCCCCACATGAGTAGTTATGTGGGCACCACAAATGGAGGTTACTGGGATATTAAATTAAAATGAAAAAAGGACCCAAAGTTGGAGCAGGGAGGGATGTGGGGGAGGATCTTGGAGGAGTTAGGGGTAAATATGATTAAAATACATTGTAGGAAATGAACAAAGAATTATTAAATAATTGATAAAATGAAAAATAAAAATATTTACTATGTTTTTTTTCTTACAGAGAGGCTGAGAGACCTATAATTTAATGGGGGTTATTTCTAAGATCTCAGTCTTTGGAAAGTTCCAAGAGAGTCTTCATTTGTTTCCTCATCATAATCATGTAATAACAATCACCATAAAAAATAAAACCAATATTAGAAGCTGTATATAATTAACATGTGGCTGTTGACAGAATAAAAAAAGATGTGAAATGATGATTTTGCAGATCAAGTATTACAACCAACAGTAATTGGTCTTGAAAGACTTGTTTAGTTTTTAAGAAGGAAGCTGGCTCTCTTGCTACAGAAGAAACAGACTTGGTCATGATTGCAGCAGACCCACAGACACACTGTGCAGAGTGCAGTTCTCAACAGCTGCAATGCTTTCCAGCAAGTGGCAACAGTGGCTTTCAGTGGTTACTCCTTCATACCAAACAGTAATAGCGTGGAAGATCATTGCTGGGCATTTTTGAATGTGAAAAATCAAGACAGAAGTTGCCTGGGCTGGTTTTCAATGCTGTGGGATACCTGTACTGAAAAACAGTGGGTGTTGGAATTGTTCTATGAATTTCATTCTGTAATACCTTGCTGTGTTTAAACTGTCCAGGAACTGGTTGCTCTGAGTGATGTCTGGAAGTTGTAAATGTTTTTATTTAAGCCTGTGTATTCTAAGACTTCAGAGTAAATAACTGAAGGAAAGTGTCTCTTTCTCAAGACCAGAAGCAGTCAGGAGTGCATGTTTTCTTTACTTACCTGCATCCCCTGGGTAACTTTCAAGATGCTGTGTCTTCACACAGAGCCCAAGGAAGCAACTAAAGCACTAGCTTCCGTGTCTAAGTAGTCACTGCTCTGTCAGAGGCTCTGATGCCCTTTCATGGAAGAGCAGAGGCAGTTAGTTATTTATAGTGCCTGCTACCATTTATCTTCTAATCCATTTACTGATTTAGTAAGGAGGAAATTGTGTGTTAGTATCCTGATTCATATTTCATCTATGAAAAAGGGCCTTGAATATTCTACAATGTTTAAAGATAAATAAAATGGATATTTTCCAATGGTATATTAAATAATACTACAGCCTATTATTCTGAATATATTTATCTGAAATAAGAAATGAGAAATAATTTAGCTCACTCTTATAGATAAATTAGGAACTTAGAAAAGTTTTTGTCTATAAAATTTTCAATATTTTTTGTTCATTTCATCCTGTTCCAGACATGGCCTTTCAGCTATGCAATCTGTAAAACTGACAATACCCTCCTAAATATTCATAACATCTATGATGAGAAGTGGCTGCTGTGCTTTCATTATTTTATGTCTTTAATAAATTCAAAAGTGGATAACTTGAGCCAAATTGCAATAATGCTTCTTTCTAAGTCCTCATAGAATGCTTTTTTTCTAAGTCCTCATATTTGGACACTATATATTTTTTTGTGTAATTTATATTAGGTTCTCTTCCACCACACCAAAAATCATAATCTGAAAAATAGTAAGAATGCTAGCAGGCTTGATGTATTCTTGCCTTTTAGGATAGACATGCTGACTGGCATATGCTACGACTCAACATTAAAAAATACCAATAATATGTATGCATAAGCACACATTGATAACTTTTTAATTGAAAACAGCATATATTAAAAACAAAAATTCTACCTTGGTGATTGTCATATTAATGTACTATTAAAGCAAATCATACATTTAATTCATGGCATCTATACTTAATATCATTCAATATTAAGAACTAAAGCTGCATATGTACATTGAAGGTAGGCTACATTCTCTCATGTCTGAGCTTCTCCCATCAGTTAAGAAATATACTCTATACTGAAAATGCATTTATTTGAAGTTTTGACCTAACACAGTGGATTAAGGCTTAGACAATATTGACTTTGCTACACTTTGATTCAGAAAGGGCCATATGTGAGAGTACGATCCTGACCGACTTCACACATTTTTATAGTATACTGGCAAAAAAGAATTACATTAAAGGCACAAATATAAAATAGCTACAAAATAAGCTGCAATGTTATAATTGGTAAAAGCCTGTAGTTAATATATTTGGATAAATAACTGAAGTCAGCAGCAAAGTGGTTAAACATTTGTGATTTGATTTTATCTCAGCTTGGAATGTGGTTGGAGTGTCCCACTTCTAACAACTGTTTGCTAAGTTAAGGCTTTTAGTGTTTACACAGTGTTGAATGAAGCAGCCTGGCCACCAGATGTGATTGCTTGCCCCAGACTGGGTGTTTTTCAGTCAGATCACTGTCCTCAGGGCCCCTGTTCCAACCTTCTTCCTTAGGACATCCACCAGCCTTTCTAACCTAAGGAGAGGCAAGGGAAAGAAAAGAAAAAAAGAAAAGTGTAATTATTATCGAGCATATTCTGGCTGCAAAGAATAGTATGTGCTTGTGACCAAGTCGTCCTGGTAGTCATGTTAAGAAACAAGCATTGCTGTGAGAGGCACACAGAGTGCTAAGAATTTGAGGTTAAACACAGTACAGCATGAATTTTAACGCAGATCCTGGGTTATGTCTGTCAGATGTTACACAAAAGATAAGGAACACTCATCTGAATACACTAACTACTTGCATAAAAGTTGTGAATGAATTATCTACTACACAAAGATGGCCTGTCAAGCAAAGAGCAGCACCAAGCAGCTATCCGTAGGAGAACACATCTTCCAATACAGATGTCTAAACCGGCTGAGATGAGTTCTTTAGCTAAATAAATGGTGTGTCAGTTGGTATACAGCACAACTCTGGCAACCAGATCCCTTTCTCTTCACAGTCATCTGATTAAAATAAAGACATGAAAAATTTAATGTTCTAGTAGCATGGGACTAAAACACACATGCGATTTGACGCGGATACAATCAGACTTCCAGTGCCATATATATTTCAAAAGTTCCTATTCCAAGTAGTACAGGCTAGAAGTTACTTATATACATGCCTTTTAGTCAGAGAAAAGTGATCTTCTTAGTTGATTAAAAGCCTTCTAATGAAACTAACAACCACCTAATATTCAGATGTCTATTCTGTAGTGCCTTTTGGCTCCTGTATGGAGAAAAAGCATATTCATGTGGACCTGCTTGCTTCGCTTAACAAAAGATAATGGAGTCAGAACAGTAGTTCACTTTTTTCTTTTATTTTCTTTACTAGAAGCACAAAAACTCAACCAAACCTCTCTCTTGATGTTATATATAGAAACCCTTCTATGTAAATGACAGCCAATGGTCTTGTGCTCCCTCCACAAAGACCAGTGAGCCACAGTTTTCCTGCTCCAGTGTGCCTCATTTATATGACTCTTCACAAATAAACAAAGCACAGAGCAAGGCACCAAAGGCTATCTGAGAGCACAGTAAGGGATGAGCAAATCAACTGCACACAGCATTGGAAAGCAGAGTCCATTTATTGAATGACTGCACACAGCAAGAATCCTGCAATCAGTGATGAGGGCAATGAAACAAACACCCAGAACCTTGGAAGTCTTGCTTTTTAGAAATGAAGCAAAGGTTTCAGAATGAAGTGCAAAGCTAACCTAAGTTTTTTATTATATTTTTTTCAGCTGTATAAATTAAATGTGGATAATGTAGAGCCACTAAAAACCATCTAGGGGTACAAATGCCTAAAGTAGAAAATTCATAGGAAACATCCTTTGTATTCACAGATTAGCCTGTCTTAGTGGACACTGCCAGTTGGTGACGTGTACCTACCTGATAAACTATGAAGATTAAGGCTGATGGGAGTGCATAAGCCTTTTAATGCAAAGTTTTATTAACTTGAATTGTGGAAGGGAGTGGTGTAGGAGGTCCTTCTGTATTTGTGTTGCTTTCATTGGTTGAATAAAGAAACTGCCTTGGCCTTTGATAGGACTGCAATTAAGTAGGCGGAATAGACAGAACAGGATGCTGGGAAGAAGGAGGCAGTGTGGCAGACGCCATGAACCTCTGGCCTGAGATGGACTTAGGTTAGAATCTTGCTGGTAAGCCACAGTTACATGGTGATACACAGATTTAATAAAAATGGGTTAATCAAGATGTGAGATTTAGCCAATAAGAGGCTAGAGCTAATGGGCCAGGCAGTAATTTAATTAATACAATTTCTGTGTGATTATTTTGGGGGTAAGCTAGTGCAGTGGCAAGAACAAACAAGGGGCCCCACGCCTCCTCATTACAAGGGGGCATATCAATTCTAGCAAAAATTAAAAATACTAGAAGTTTAGTGTTATATCTTAAATTAACCTATTTTGGGGGCCATGTTAGGGTCAAATCGAGGCTCTTGTGCAAGCTAGGCAGTGCTATATCAATGAACTGAAACCTAAGGCCTTGAACCAACTCATAATACACTATTTCCAGGAGAAATCTTAGCAAACCATTAATAATATTTCAAGACATTATTAACATAAAATATAGTTTTCAGTTAATGAAATACATCCCTGCCCCATATCATTCATAATACTAAGTAGTAAGAAAAGTTCCTTATAAAAATGAAAGTAAGTTCTATCATGTACTGTTATTACTATTACTATAAAACCAGACTCAGTAGGATACCAGATTGCTCACATAAATCTATGCTGCACTTCTTTTTGGCTTTTTCTTATAGATAACTTGTCTTATATTTCTTTCCTATCTATACATTGGATATCTTGCTAAGGTAAGAGGTTAGGAGAAAATACTTAATACCATGTTTTGCAATGTTTCTACCATATTTCAACAATTAGCACAGTCACCACATTCTCAGCTTATCCAGGTTGAAAGGTTTATGAAAGTTTGACCTCAGAAATGAGAAAAATGCCAGTTATTTTGTTTTGTAGGAATGCACTGACTTCTAAGACACAATGAAGCACCTATTTCTTTCTGTAGGGAATGAAATACACCTGCCAATCAGAGGCTGTACCAGCAGGAAGGTAGCCATGTATGCTGAGTATCTTACAGGCTCGTCTTTACCATATTATTTTCAAAAATATCATGCAGCACACTAAAATAGGCCTCAACTGTTTAGTATTAATCAATAGTAAATTCATGAGGGCTTCATGGAATAGGAAAGGGCTATAGTAAGGACTAGGAATTTTCAGATTGGAATATTAAGTATCTAAAGGACTGATAAAAACTCTCATATTAGCTGTGAGTCAAGAGGTAATAAATCTGGGCCGTCTTCCATTGTTTCTAGCTTAGAGATATTTTCATTAATGTTTAGATTACTAGAATCCTATAAGTTTCAGATCACATGGTAAAGGATAATCTTTCTTAGTAAGGTCATTACAGCCCTCTCATAAGTCAAATTAGAAAACAATTTGCTGACACACATTTAACTTGTTTTAGCAAGAACACTTTGCCAAGAAGCAAATTTATGCTAATTAACTTTGTAAATAATACATGGTTGAAATCTATCATTTGTTTAAATGGAATTTCTATACATCTTGAAAACTAATTTGGTAGAAATCCTATTTTTCCAACTATAAATTCCATCTTTTCCTTCTAGTTATATAATTACACGTTCACTAAAATGAAGTTAACTTTTCAATAAAATTATAATCTATAAGTTATTTACCACTTTATGTTCTTTACTCCAATGCTTTATTATGAATGAATCCTTTGATATATTTTGTATGTAAGTAATTGTAAGTGAGTAGTGTCTATGTGCCAAAAATTCTTGAGAAGTCATTATTCATGTATTTAATGTCCATTATAAGTCTACAGAGAAGATATAATCAGATGGCAGAAACAAAGGCTACTGAGGGGAACTGGATCAGTGCTATGCAGCTAGTAGATTCTAGAGCTGGGACGTAATGCTGGGCCTGACTACCAAAGTCTCTCATCTTTCCAACGTATTGTGCTTGAAAAAATTACCAAGGCCTTTTTGTATTCTGTCTCAATTGCTATGGAAAATATTATTATTATTAACTGGATAATTTATTGCAGTGGAACAGCAAAGAATGATAAAACAAATTCCTCAAAATTAACTGACTTGAACCTGAAAAATATCTTGCATATAGGAGCCACTTTTCCCCCATTCAGTAGTAGGGATTGAATCCAGGGCCTTTTAAAAGCAAGGCACACGCTCTGCAAGTGGTATACACCCAGATCTTTAGGCAAATACTCTGCAAGTGAGATACATCCCAGATCCTTTTATTTTTTATATTGAGATGGTGTCTCACTAGTTGCTCAGGTTGGCCTTGAACTCATTCTGCTAGACCAGATACAGTTAAGAATTCTCATAGTCTCATTAATTATTTGGAAATTATGTTCTAAAGTGGAACCCAAGCTAAGCCAGCTGGCACCAGCCTATAATCCCAACAACTCACAGAGCTATAATTTGAGTGGCTTCTGACATTCCTAGGAGACACAATTTCACAGCAAACTCCCTGACCCACAGGATATTACGAAATTTCTTTTACTATTATGACTATTTTCTTATATTAGACTTTTAAATGATGATCTAACTTAACCACTTTTGCTCTCTCTCTCTCTCTCTCTCTCTCTCTCTCTCTCTCTGTGTGTGTGTGTGTGTGTGTGTGCACATGCATGTGTGTGGAGGCATGAGGTTGACATTGAGTGCCTTCCTCCATTTTTTTGACCTTATTTTTTGAGACAGGGTCCCTCACTGAACCTGGAGCTTATTGATTCATAGAAGATATAGGGACTGGCCAAAGATTATCTTCGCCTATAGATAAGATAGTTCCTTATCCCAAAGAATATTAATGAGTTCTACAATCTGAATACCACTAAACTTCAAACCCCAAAAAGTGAATATGGTATGTACTCACTCATAAGCGGATACTAGCTATAAACAAAGGACATTGAGCCTATAGTTCATGGTCCTAGAGAAACTAAATAATAAGATGAACCCAAAGAAAAACATATATAGACCCACCTGGAAATTGGAAACAGACAAGATCTCCTGACAAAATTGGGAGCATGGGGCAGGTGAAAAAGGGAGGGTTGAAGGGGAAGAGGAAGGAAGAAGGGGGCGTTGAGGAGAACTTGAGGGAATGGGATAGTCAAGATGGAGCAAGGACAGATATGAGAGCAAGGAAAGAGATATCTTGGCTGATGGAGATATTGTGGGGTTACCAAGAAACCTGGCTCTAGAAAATGTTCCAGGAATCCACAAGGATGAACCTAGCTAAGACCCTAAGCAATAGAGGAGAGGGTGCCTGAACTGGCTTTTCCCTGTAGTCAGACTGATGATGATCTTAAATATCACCAAAGAACCTTTGTCCAGCAACAACAGATGGAAACAGAGGCAGAGACCCACATCAGAGCACTGGTCTGAGCTCCCAAGGTCTAGTTGAAGAGTAGAAGGAATGAGAAAATGAACAA